AAGTAGGAGAAACTTTTAGAGAGGTTGTTGTAGGTAAATTTGGGGTGCCAGGTGTAAATGATAATGAGAGCCCTTTGAACTTTGTATAGAAAGGGGTTTAGTTATAGGTAATACATATTTTAAGAAAAAGAGGATAAATAAGTATACAAGATATGATGTAGGGCGAAATGACAGTAGTTTGTTGGATTATGTATTGGCAGATAAAAGACTGTTGAGTAGACTTCAGGATGTATATGTTTATAGAGGGGCCACAGATATATCAGATCACTTTTTAGTTGTACATACACTGAGAGTAAAAGGTAGATGGGATACAAGGAGAATAGAAGCATCAGGTAAGAGAGAGGTGAATGTTTATTAACTAAAAGAGGAGGTAGTTAGAGTAAGATATAAACAAATATTGGAGGATAGATGGGCTAATGAGAGCATAGGCAATGAGGTTGCAGATGTATGGGATAGGTTTAAAAATGTTGTATTAGTGTTCAGTAGAAGTTTGTGGTTACAGGAAAGTGGGTGTGGAAGGGAAGAGGAGCGATTGGTGGAATGATGATGTAAAGAGACTAGTAAGGGAGAAAAAGTTATCATATGAGAAGTTTTTACAAAGTAGAAGTCATGCAAGGAGGGAAGAGTATATGGAGAAAAAGAGAGAGGTTAAGAGAGTGGTGAAGCAATGTAAAAAGAGAGCAAATGAGAGAGTGGGTGAGATGTCATCAACAAATTTTGTTGAAAATAAGAAAAAAGTTTTGGAGTGAGATTAAAAAGTTAAGGAAGCCTAGAGAACAAATGGATTTGTCAGTTGAAAATAGGAGAGGAGAGTTATTAAATGGAGAGTTAGAGGTATCGGGAATATGTAGGGAATATTTTGAGGAATTGTTAAGTGTTGATGAAGATAGGGAAACTGTGATTTCGTGTATAGAGCAAGGAGGAATAACATCTTGTAGGAGTGAGGAAGAGCCAGTTGTGAGTGTGGGGGAAGTTCATGAGGCAGTAGGTAAATTGAAACGGGGTAAGGCAGCTGGGATTGATGGGATAGGTTTAAAAATGTAGTGTTAGAGTGTTCAGCAGAAGTTTGTGGTTACTGGAAAGTGGGTGTGGGAGGGAAGAGGAGCAATTGGTGGAATGATTATGTAAAGAGAGTAGTAAGGGAGAAAAAGTTAGCATATGAGAAGTTTTTACAAAGTAGAAGTGATACAAGGAGGGAAGAGTATATGGAGAAAAAGAGAGAGGTTAAGAGAGCGGTGAAGTAATGTAAAAATAGAGCAAATAAGAGAGTGGGTGAGATGTTATCAACAAATTTTGTTGAAAATAAGAAAAAGTTATGGAGTGAGAATAACAAGTTAAGGAAGCCTAGAGAGCAAATGGATTTGTCAGTTAAAAACAGGAGAGGAGAGTTGTTAAATGGAGAGTTAGAGGTATCAGGAAGATGTAGGGAATATTTTGAGGAATTGTTAAGTGTTGATGAAGATAGGGAAGCTGTGATTTCGTGTATAGGGCAAGGAGAAATAACATATTGATGGAGTGAGGAAGAGCCAGTTGTGAGTGTGGGGGAAGTTCGTGAGGCAGTAGGTAAAATGAAACGGGGTAAGGCAGCTGGGATTGATGGGATAAAGATAGAAATGTTTAAGCTGGTGGGGATATAGTTTTGGGGTGGTTGGTGCTATTATTTCATAAATGTATGGAAGAGGGTAAGGTCAGTAGGGATTGGCAGAGAGCATGCATAGTTCCTTTGTATAAAGGCAAAGGGGACAAAAGAGAGTGCAAAAAATATAGGGGGATAAGTCTGTTGAGTATACCTGGTAAAATGTATGGTAGAGTTATTATTGAAAGAGTTAAGAGTAAGACGGAGAATAGGATAGCAGATGAACAAGGAGGCTTTAGGAAAGGTAGGGGGTGTGTGGACCAAGTGTGTTCAGTGAAACATGTAAGTGAACATTATTTAGATAATGCTAAAGAGGCTTTTATGGATTTGGAAAAGGTGTATGACAGGGTGGATAGGGGGGCAATGTGGCAGATGTTGCAGGTGTGTGGTATAGGAGGTAGGTTACTGAAAGCAGTGAAGAGTTTTTACGAGGATAGTGAGACTCAAGTTAGAGTATGTAGGAAAGAGGTAGATTATTTCCCAGTAAAAGTAGGCCTTAGACAAGGGTGTGTGATGTCACCATGGTTGTTCAATATATTTTTAGATGGGGTTGTAAGAGAAGTAAATGTGAGTGTCTTGGCAAGAGGCGTGGAGTTAAAAGATAAAGAATCACACATAAAGTGGGAGTTGTCACAGTTGCTCTTTGCTGATAACACTGTGCTCTTGGGAGATTCTGAACAGAAGTTGCAGAGGTTGGTGGATGATTTGGTAGGGTATGTAAAAGAAGAAAATTAAAAGTGAATACAGGAAAGAATAAGGTTTGAGGATAACAAAAAGATTAGGTGATGAAAGATTGGATATCAGATTGGAGGGAGAGAGTATAGAGGAGGTGAATGTATTCAGATATTTGGGAGTGGACGTGCCAGCAGATGGGTCTATGAAAGATGAGGTGAATTATAGAATTGATGAGGGGAAAAGGGTGAGTCTGTGGAGACAAAGAACTTTGTCCTTGGAAGCAAAGAGGGGAATGTATGAGAGTATAGTTTTACCAACGCTCTTATATGGGTGTGAAGCATGGGTGATGAATGTTGCAGCGAGGAGAAGGCTGGAGGCAGTGGAGATGTCATGTCTGAGGGCAATGTGTGGTTTGAATATAATGCAGAGAATTCGTAGTTTGGAAATTAGGAGGAGGTGCAGGATTGCCAAAATTGTTGTCCAGAGGGCTGAGGAAGGGTTGTCGAGGTGGTTCGAACATGTAGAGAGAATGGAACGAAACAGAATGACTTCAAGAGTGTATCAGTCTGATAAGTTAGACACATGTGCAACTCTTGGGTATCTTGATTGAGGAAACGTTTCGCCACACAGGGGCTTCATCAGTCCATACAAAGGAGAATCTTGAAGAACAGGAGGAGAATGAGGTAATCAGTCCCTCAACCTTGAGTCGATGTGGTCAGTCCATCAATCTTGAATAGAATACGGCATACGTGCTGAGAAGGAGCTTATAAACCGTTGGCAGGAGAGGTGCAGCAGTCATAGGTCGTGTAACATTTGTTCAATGTTGAAGTAGGTCGTGCCCAAGAATTAGGCAAGCGAAGAATTCCCAAGTATTAAGATCCCAAGAAGTTGCAGTGTCTGACAGGTTTGTAAATGAATGGTTCAGAGAACCGACATGTTGATAAGTTAGACACATGTGCAACTCTTGGGTATCTTTATTGAGGAAACGTTTTGCCACACAGTGGCTTCATCAGTCCATACAAAGGAGAATCTTGAAGAACAGGAGGAGAATGAGGTAATCAGTCCCTCAACCTTGAGTCGATGTGGTCAGTCCATCAATCTTGAATAGAATATGGCATACGTGCTGAGAAGGAGCTTATAAACCGTTGGCAGGAGAGGTGCAGCAGTCATAGGTCGTGTAACATTTGTTCAATGTTGAAGTAGGTCGTGCCCAAGAATTAGGCAAGCGAAGAATTCCCAAGTATTAAGATCCCAAGAAGTTGCAGTGTCTGACAGGTTTGTAAATGAATGGTTCAGAGAACCGACATGTTGATAAGTTAGACACATGTGCAACTCTTGGGTATCTTTATTGAGGAAACGTTTCGCCACACAGTGGCTTCATCAGTCCATACAAAGGAGAATCTGAAGAACAGGAGGAGAATGAGGTAATCAGTCCCTCAACCTGAGTCGATGTGGTCAGTCCATCAATCTTGAATAGAATACGGCATACGTGCTGAGAAGGAGCTTATAAACCGTTGGCAGGAGAGGTGCAGCAGTCATAGGTCGTGTAACATTTGTTCAATGTTGAAGTAGGTCGTGCCCAAGAATTTGGCAAGCGAAGAATTCCCAAGTATTAAGATCCCAAGAAGTTGCAGTGTCTGACAGGTTTGTAAATGAATGGTTCAGAGAACCGACATGTTGATAAGTTAGTGCCTAATTCTTGGGCACGACCTACTTCAACATTGAACAAATGTTACACGACCTATGACTGCTGCACCTCTCCTGCCAACGGTTTATAAGCTCCTTCTCAGCACGTATGCCATATTCTATTCAAGATTGATGGACTGACCACATCGACTCAAGGTTGAGGGACTGATTACCTCATTCTCCTTCTGTTCTTCAAGATTCTCCTTTGTATGGACTGATGAAGCCACTGTTTGGCGAAACGTTTCCTCAATAAAGATACCCAAGAGTTGCACATGTGTCTAACTTATCAACATGTCGGTTCTCTGAACCATTCATTTACAAAGTGTATCAGTCTGTAGTGGAAGGAAGGCGGGGTAGGGGTCAGCCTAGGAAAGGTTGGAGGGAGGGGGTAAAGGAGGTTTTGTGTGCGAGGGGCTTGGACTTCCAGCAAACATGCGTGAGCGTGTTTGATAGGAGTGAATGGAGGCAAATTTTTTTAATACTTGATGTGCTGTTGGAGTGTGAGCAAAGTAACATTTATGAAGGGATTCACTGAAACCAGCAGGCCGGACTTGAATCCTGGAGATTGGAAGTACAGTGTCTGCACTCTGAAGGATGGGTGTTAATGTTGCAGCTTTATAAACTGTAGTGTAAAGCATCCCTCTGGCAAGACAGTGATGGAGTGAATGATGGTTAATTTTTTTCATTTTCAGGCCACCCTGCCTTGGTGGGAATCGGCCTGTGTGTTAATAATAATAATAATAATAAATTTATAAATACGAAATATTTACCTTTTAATTTATAAATAAGAATTATTTACATTTTAATTTATAAATATGAAATATTTACATTTTAATTTATAAATAGGTTTATTGAGGTATACTCAAATACAGTTACATACCTAGACTATCATACATAGCAGCATATGCATAAAGTACCTAGGATAACCCAAAAAAGTCAGAGTGACTTACGTATTTCCATTGGGGTCCTTTTGTATTTACACTTATATATACACTTATATTTACGCTTTTATATTTACACTTGGAGAAGATGTTAGTTTAATTAGTTTGATGGAGGAGATGCTGGCAGAGGTTTAGAGTGGTGGAAGATACATAGCAGGGCTGCATATGTTCAGCGGCCCGATACACACAACAACATTGGAGAGTTACTTTCGTGTCATTTTTCTATCATTTACTTGCTTAACTTGCTACACTGTAAATTCTACATTTTATCGCTGGATGGCACCATAGCCTTTATTGATACCTTCAGCTTTAGTATCGTACATATTGTAGAATCACTGCAGAAGGCACATTCTCCCCTCTCTCTTCCTCCTCCACTTTGATACTTTGCTACGAGTTTTTTCTTGAATTTTATTGTGTTTCTTTCCTTCTTTACCGCAGGGCTGGCACTAGAAACTTTCTTTGGGCCCATGGTGGCTTATTTAGCAGTTACAAGCACTAAAAACAATGGAATACAAAATATATCACATGTATGAGTGGAATCATCCTCCCTGGCTTGTAAACAATGGCACACTACCTTGTACATGGGCTCAGGCCGTGCAGACACATTCGGGACGAATGTCCTTAACTGAGTTTTTCATCGTTAGCCGAGCCAGTATTTTTACGCAAAAACACATCGGTATCCGATTTTTTAGCTATCCAATGGCATCGTTACCCGAGGGTCCACTCTACTATATTTCCCTACGATGTGCTTGTGCACCAAACATTTGAGAATGTTCAACATTCGCGAAGTTCTTGATCCCGTAATCCTTGTGAATGTGGAGAGCCACATGTATGTATGACACTATTATCTTGGAGACTATCTTTCCTCTGGCTAAAAGTTCTAGTATTGTTATTTGCACACACACTAAGCTTAAAGGTCCCCTCTGAGAGTATACTCTGGCAGGAATTGCATACTAATTCTCCTTTTTATGATACAATGAATACTGCTTTCTAATATGTTAGTTCCAAACACTGGAGGGATGAAGCTTATAAGTTCACTGGCACAGTTTAGAGTTCTAGCACGCAAGTGAGATCACGATAATGTGTATGGTTTTACTGGTTGTTTCCTGGTGTTAATTGATAAAATGAAAGACTTACTAATGAAAAAGAGAGGACTTTGGTTGGTTTCAAACTGGAAGTAGTCTGAAGTAGAGCTCAAAGTGACAAAAATATTTTATTTTTGGCAGTTTCCCTGAAGAAGGGTAGGATCCTCCCTAGCCCCTATGTGTTTTGTACATGTTTTCAGCAGGTCTGCTTCAATTATTGGGATGGTTATATTTTAGTACTCAGAGATTTATGGTATTATATAATAGAAGCCACAGGGGACATACTGAACTGAGGCAAAATTGTTTTTGTGACTGGAATGTTTACAGTGTTTTTCAGCATCTTCATTAATCTGTTTTGTTACTGTATTATTAATGTTCATCCACCATCAACACTAATCTGTACTCAACTATTATCATAATACAGTCCACCACCTCTAGTTCATTCTCAACATTACTCTCTCCTCGTCTGGTAGTAAGAGTCAGACACCTAACATAATCAGTACTTAACCATCACTATTCTAATATTTGTGTTTCAGAGGCAGTGTTTCAACCTGAAGAGAGAGAGAGAGTCTGAGGCAACATGGAGACTTCATGTTCTTGGTCATCTCCAGACTTTGGCACTGCATGGTTGTTACTTCTGGTTTCTCCAATAATTTCTGTCTAATAGATCCAGTTGCTTAGGGAAGTTACCCTCTCTTTATTTTGAACTCTGTTTTTAAATTAGCTGTATAGTCCTTGTGGCTTAGCGCTTCTTTTTGATTATAATAATAATGTTTTTAAATTAGAATTTTTTGAATTTGTAAAATTAGTCTAATTACCTTAAAATAATTGAATGATTGGTTTCCTGTGCATAATTAATAGAAGAGTAGGTATGTTGGCTAGGAACTGGATCAACTTAATTATTGAAATAGGCTAAAATAGGATGTAAAATAGGCCAAATTGCTGATGCATATAGTTGCGTCTGAACAATTATCTTAGTTTTCCATCAGATGTTGCATTTGTGGTGTCATAACCTGAGAAAAACATTCTTTACCATTTGAAAATTTTGACACACTCAGCACATTTAATTTTGGGAGTCACAATAGTAAAGGTGTTAAGAACTTAAATGACGTTTATGACAAATGATAAGATGCAATACATTAGAGTTCCTTCAAGGAAACAAACACATCAGTGTTCTGAATGTCTAAACGATTTTTCACATAAATCACGTCTAATACAACATATGAGAGTTCATTCACAAGAAAAACCATATCAGTGTTCTGAATGCCTAAAAGACTTCACAGATAGATCAAATCTAATACGACACATGAGAGTTCATTCTCAAGAAAAACCATATCAGTGTTCTGAATGTCTACAAGACTTTTCACGTAGATCATCCCTGATACAACATATGAGAGTCCATACACAAGAAAAACCATATCAGTGTTCTGAATGTCTACAAGACTTTTCACGTAAATCATCCCTGATACAACATATGAGAATTCATACACAAGAAAAACCATATCAGTGTTCTGAATGTCTAAAAGACTTTTCACATAAATCTTCCCTAATACTACACATGAGAATTCATTCACAAGAAAAACCATATCAGTGCTGTGAATGTCTAAAAGACTTTACAAATAGATCAAATCTAATACAACACATGAGAGTTCATTCTCAAGAAAAACCATATCAGTGTTCTGAATGTCTAAAAGACTTTTCACATAAATCTTCCCTAATAAAACACATGAGAATCCATTCACAAGAAAAACCATATCAGTGCTGTGAATGTCTAAAAGACTTTACAAATAGATCAAATCTAATACAACACATGAGAGTTCATTCTGAAGAAAAACCACATCAGTGTTCTGAATGTCTACAAGACTTTAAACATAGATCATCCCTGATACAACACATGAGAGACCATACACAAGAAAAACCATATCAGTGTTCTGAATGTCTAAAAGACTTTTCACGTAAATCTTCCCTAATACAACACATGAGAATCCATTCACAAGAAAAACCATATCAGTGCTGTGAATGTCTAAAAGACTTTACAAATAGATCAAATCTAATACAGCACATGAGAGTTCATTCTCAAGAAAAACCTTATCAGTGTTCTGAATGTCTGAAAGACTTTTCACATAAATCTTCCCTAATAAGACACATGAGAATCCATTCACAAGAAAAACCATATCAGTGCTGTGAATGTCTAAAAAACTTTACAAATAGATCAGATCTAATACATCACATGAGAGTTCATTCTCAAGAAAAACCATATCAGTGTTCTGAATGTCTAAAAGACTTTAAATGGAGATCATCCCTAGTACAACACATGAGAGTTCATTCATTAGAAAATTCCTTTTAAGAATGATTGCCTTGATTTGGGTGATATACTCTTAATCCAAGGAGTTAGAGTTATCCCTCACCTTCCTTGGATCAGATATGAATACCCTCCTTCCCCTATTTTCCAGGGGCTGTATGACCCATACTGATTTAGCACTTGCTCATGAATATAATAATCATGAGGTAAACTATATTTTTGAGTTACATTATTTTTTTGTTTTTGCATCAAAGCAGAATGACTCCCATTTCCTAGGCAGTGTATGACCTTTACAGGTTTAGCATTTCCTCAAAAATTAAATAATTCTGGCTTCTTGAATGAATGTTTGATCAGATAGACTATTGTGACCCCTGAATGGGTCACAATGTATATAATGTATATTATTTGTTCTTGTAATTTTATATTGCTTATATTTAGGATATTAGCTAAATCATAAATATATTGCTATATATTATTATTTGACTTAGTTTTATTATTAGGTTGGATGTAACATTTATATATTATTCAGTGCTCATAGTTCAAGAGTGTTAAGTAGCTGACAGCATTGTCTAACTAGTGTAACTATTGCTCCGCTCATTTCCCTGCTGGCTTCTGTGTTGCTGGGCAGCAGCAGTCCATGGAGTCACGTGATCAGGGTGGGGTGATTACACCTCACCTGGGTGAGAGAGACTCTGTCCTTTGCTAGCTTTTGCTCGGGAGCTATCTCTCTCTCTCTTCTCTGTTTTACATTGCTTCCGACAAGACGAATGTCTCACCAGCCCTTCCATGCTGGCACTTGTTGGAAGATCATCTCTGTCGCTTTCTTGTTGTTGGTTCTGTGTAACTCTGTTCACAGAACATAGCCTAGACTTAATGATTTTCGACGTTATACTGAGGTTGTCTGTCGCATTGACGCTCCGAGAAACTCAGGTCCTGAGCTGTAGCTTCTGACCTAATATGTACTGGTATCTGTGCACTGTCACAGTTGGGGATTTTCTAATGCTGAACTTAGATTCAGTAGTATGGGAGTTTTGTGACTTTTGTGGAGGAACTGCAGATGGTCCCTACTTAGTGTCGTTATATTATCTCCTTGTTCCTGATTCTGTGTCACTGTTGCTTGTCTTGTTGCTGTTTGACTTATCAGCCATTTTACTGTTCAAGCAAGCTGTTCTGATTGCCAGGTTTGTCAAGAAGTTAGTTTATATGAGGACTTTTAATCAGTCATTGGTTAAGTCTAGTCGAATCTTGAGACTTAGCAAACTACTTAGAGCACTTGCACACATACTCACTTGTATATATTAGTATTATGTTATTAAATGCTAACAATGTACCAGACGGTACTTAAAAGCCATAAAGATGTGATATGTGCCTTCAGCACAATACTACTGTACACGAGAGAAGTGATTATTTTGATTATTTTGATTACTTTAATTTACTTTGATTTTGTATGCCTAGACAACTTATAGTTATTAATAAACTTATTAAATTTTAATTTCTTTAGTTAGTAGCCTACCAGTTGTAATCCTGAAGCACTATTTTATCTTACTATTAAAGTCTAATGGATAATTGGACCAGGATACTGACTACTTGTTACAAAAACCCAGTAACAGGCTGGATGCTAGAATGGCAGTTCTTTCTATTATTCACTGGAGATTTCTATGATTATTAGATATCGCATTTTTTGTAACAAATGGGGGCCTATCTGGGATGCTTTTGATCCAAGGTGTTGGAGAAATTCTCCAGTTTGATACTAGTAACTCTATAGTCAAACACTTTGAGTACTTTCCTAATCTAAAGAGTTTGAGTTTAGTCTTGTACAACATAATAGGTGGATGTATGTACTTGACTGAGTCTCTTGATCCAAGGAGATGAAATACTGTTTATGAGCTCTAGCTCTAAGACAACCAACACTAAAATTCCTATTAGGTTTATAGTTTCCCATAATCACTCTCTTGTAGTGCACTTATTTTTGTGATGTATGTCAAAGTGAAACAGTTAATTGATACTCTGACTTTGTCGACATTAAGTACGTTAAAACTTCAGATGTCTTGGTGAGTAGCCAAATATCTCGGTGTGACGTATAACAGGAATTACACCTCAGAAACTGTCGGAGCGTTAATTAATGATATATTGTTTCCTGCTCGTGCAGAGACGTCTGATTATGATTCAGATACAGAGAGCATAGTGTCACAATTAGGAAGTATGACTCTAATTGATGACATAAAAGAGAGAGCAACTACAGCAGAAGTGTCTGAGCTTAGTATAACTCCGTTCACGCTCACACCTTCCCACCTGACTAACACCATAGTACAAAGTGTAGCTGGTAGTATGACTCAGCCTCATACTAGTACCGTGTATGCTACACCTGTAGCTACTTATCCTAAACCAGATCTAGACTCTCTAGGGATGGCTGGACTAGGTGCCTGAACTAAGGACCGTCCAGACTCTTTCGTTAGATTCCATACACCTCCGTTATCCACTGGTCCTATCTCTCAGAAACAGTTTGAGAGGATGGAACACCTCATTATGTTGTAGACTGCACAAATAGAGGCACAGAGGAAATTGAACGAAAAAGATTTCCAGAGAGCAACTGTTCGTCTCGAAAGGCAACAGATTAATAGAGCTGATGAAGTTGATAAGCCTGTTAGTACAACAAAGGACACATTTAATGTGCAGAAAGCTGCCTCAATGGTTCCTAAGTTTTTTGAGAGTGACTTAGACACCTACTTTGATGTGTTTGAGAACCAGGCACGTGCTATGAACTGGCCACGTATGCACTGGGCTACCTTGTTGCGCACAGCTTTGACAGGAAGAACTCAAACTTGTACTGCTGCTTTACCATTTGCCAAGTACATTAGTTATGATGCTGTCAAGGAAACTATTCTAGAGACCTCTAAATTGTTACCTGTAAGTTATCAACGTGCATTTCGTACACTACAGCTACGACAAGATCAAACTTGTGTAGAGTTTGCTCTTGAGAAAAAAAGTTGCATTTGAGAGATGGTGTAGAGCTGCAAAGAGTAATAATTATGACAGTCTTGTTTAGTTGTTACTTCACGAAGAGTTTAACAACTATATGTCTACTGACATACAAGAATATCTGATTGATCATTCTGCCTCGGATATTCTGGAAACTGCAGCATTAGCAGACAATTACAAGATTTCTCACAAACTTGTACGTACTAAAACACAGAGAAACACGGTAACTAAAAATTGTCCTAGAAGTTGGCAACCTAAATCAGCTGATAAGTGCCAGCCTGATGTACCTGCTACTGTAACTTCTCATACCTTTACCAGGAAAATTCACATTCTTGAATCTATCTCTGTGGTTAGACAGAAATCTGATACCAAGAAGAAGAAAGTTAAATGTACCTATTGTAACAAAAAAGGACATACTAGAGAGTATTGCTATAAGTTAGAAAGAGATACGAGAAGCGGTCGTGCGGCTGGCACCCCTACACATCGTATCCTCTTCTGTGCAACAAAGGCACCAAAGTCCTAGAAATACCTCTAATCCCACTGTTTTAGATAATATTACTCAGAATAGATGACTAGTGTCAGAAAGTGTATCTGACGAAAAGATTCGTTCAGCGATGAGTCCTTATCGAGAGGCAAAGTAGGACTTGACGAATCACATGTAACTGAGATAATTACTTTTAGAGACACTGGCAGTTATCTCAGGTTATTGAGGGAAGATGTACTGCCCATAACTGATGATACCTATACCAAGATAGATGCATTGTTAGAAGCCTGTGGTGGGACTGTTATAAAAGTACTTCTACACAAAGTTTGCATTGAAACAAGCTATTATACTGGTTATATTTCAGTAGGTATATTCAGTGGTGCATTTCCCATCAGGTCAGTGGACTTGTTGATAGGGAACGATATCCTTCATGCTGGTATATGTAAGGAACCACTTGTGATTGATAATACCACTGATGATAATTATGCCATTGAAACTTGTAGAGAGAAGCCTATTTTATTTCTTCTCAGCACAATTACTAGTGTTATGTCAAAGATACAGCAACCATCCTTGTCTCCTGTTGAGTTAGTTGATGACAATGATTTGGGCTTGAAAATGTTGTTCAGTGATGCTCTGCACCCAGGATTATTAACACTGACTCCCCCTTGTCATCAACCTAGTCAGGACACAACTGACATTAAATTTCTAACTCATGATGATTTAATCAAGGATCAGTTTGTTGATCAGTCACTGGAAAGACTGAGAGATATAGTAGTTACTGAGAGTGAAGCAAAGGATTTCGATAATTGTTACTATTATAGTAACGGTGTACTGATGGAGAAAAATACAAGTAAGTTATCAGCTGATAGTGTTTCCACCACAGTCAAGCATCTCGTAGTGTTACCAGTTACATTTCATGAACAAGCCATTGATTTTGCACACAATAGTCCCATAGGAGGACATTTGGGTGTCAAGAAGACACTCGGTAAACTGGCAAAACATTTTACTTGGCCAAATATGAAGGAAACAGTAGCTGATCATATGCAACGTTGCAACGTCTGTCAAGTGACAGGCAAGCCAGCACACACATCTCCACCTACACCTCTCACTGAGCTTACTTGTAGCAAAGTTCAGTTCATCTGGAGACAGATTGTTCAGACTCGTTTACAAGGTTGAAGCTTCTGCTTTCCTCAGCTCCTGTATTGAGGAGTCCTAATTTCAATCTTCCCTTCTTTTTACATATAGATGCGAGTGGTTGTGCAGTGGGTGCTATGCTGCTCCAACAGTGGTTATGCAGTGGGTGCTGCTCCAACAGTCAACATCCACTGACATTCTCCATCCTATATGTTACTATTCATCTAAGCTCAAACGACACCAGAAAAATTATGCCACTATTGAGAAAGAGGCTCTAGCTCTTGTGGTGTCCTTGAAACATTTTGACGTGTATTTGGGCACTTCTCCATTTAAAATTAACGTTTTTTTCAGACCACAATCCACTCCCCTACATAAATACAATGAAGAGTAAAAATGCTAGGATCATGAGGTGGGCTCTCAGAATCCAGCCATACTCTGTTAGTATACAACATATCAGTGGTCATTGTAATGTAATTGCTGATGCTCTGTCACGTCCTTAATTACCATTGTTACATTAAGATTAACGTAATTTTATGCCCAAATACCTTTTGTTACTTGCTACTTTAAATTCAGTAGAGTAACATAATCTATCAAGCTCATGTTAACTATGTATACTCATGTCTAATTATTCTATTTATATATTCACAGTAGTAGTGATGTATGTTGTTGTGGGAAGGGGACAGTTGGAGACAGAAGCTGAATGTTGAGTGTGGAGAGTGTTGTGTGGGCGATGTTAGTTACTGAGTGATGACAGTCCTGCTGCAGCCACCCCACCTCACTGCACACCATAGTTACGGCATTCAAGTTGTCTCATATGCAGATGTCCATACTGCCTCGCATTCCACTACCACTACTTAAGAGTGGAATACAGTCTCCACTACTATGATCGAGCCTCAATGTGTCATGCCTTTCTACGTTATCCTGTCTCTACATTGATGTACATAACAACAAGTATGCAGATATATGATATGCTGTGTACTGTCCTAGTACAAGGGGCGTAACTTGCAGTGAAATAGACACTGTAAAATGGAAGTGCTTGGCTCAAGAATGACTCTGAAATTTTTATAATACATTATTGATGTTGTGCTGGGGGGGTATTGCAACCCCTGAATGGGTCACAATGTATATAATGTATATTATCTGTTCTTATAATTTTATATTGCTTATATTTGCAATATTAGCTAAATCATAAATATATTGCTTTATATTATTATTTGACTTTGTTTTATTATTATGTAGGATGTAACATTTATACAGTGGTCCCTCAATAATCGTCCATAATCCGTTCCTGGAAGTGGGACTATTATCGAAATGGACGATTTTCGAATCAATTTTCCCCATAAGAAATAATGTAAATCCAATTAATTCGTTCCAGACACCCAGAAGTATCAACAACAATTTTTTTTTTACCTAAAAGATAGATTTACATGCACAAAAGAATGAACATTCAACATGAAAGTTACCTTTATTGAAGGCTGTTGTTGATGAATGGAAGACAGGGAGGAGAGAGGGAAGAGAGGTTATTTGGAAGGGGAATCCCCCTCCATAAGGACTCTAGGGCACTAATAAAATGTATAAATGAACATTGGTAATAGGGGTAGTTGATGAGTGGAACGGTCTGCCTAGTAGGGTGATCGAAGCTAAAACATTGGGTAGTTTCAAATTTAGGTTGGATAAATACACGAGATAAAGGGGTTGGATTTGAGTTGGACTTGCACCTGAGCTTATTGCTTGGATAGCATTTGTTCTGTTAGTGGGTTGGATTTGTGAAGGACCAGCCTAGTATGGGCCAACAGGCCTATTGCAGTGTTCCTCCTTTCCAATGTTCTAAAAGCTATGGCTTGGGTAGTTTCAAATTTAGGTTGGATAAATACACGAGTGAAAGAGGTTGGATTTGAGTCGGACTTGCACCTGAGTTTATTGCTTGGGTAGCATTTGTTCTGTTAGTGGGTTGGATTTGTGAAGGACCGGCCTAGTATGGGCCAGCAGGCCTGTTCCAGTGTTCCTACTTTCTTAAGTTCTTATTTAACATCACACTTACCAGAAAGGTGATCGAGGCTAGGACCTTGGGTAGCTTCAAGAAGAGATTGGACAAATATACGAGTTGGAGGAGCTGAGTTTGATTTGTGTCATTGGGTACGGGAGTAAATTCTTGGGTAGCTTTGGGTGGAGGTCATTTTGATAAAGACCTGCCTTGTATGGGCCAGTAGACCTGCAGTGTTCTTCCATTGTTATGTTTTTACTGGCTATTTGTTTGTGAGGGAGGGATGGCAAGTTTATTGTTGGAGAATATGACACTAATATCAACTCTATGGCTTATTTATCTATCACAATTCAACTAATATGATATAATAAACAATATTAATAACATAGAAACATGGAATATACTCTAGAATGAATAAAATAAGTCATTACGTATGTCACGAGAGGTGTTGTGTTGTGTTGTTGTTGGGTATATAAGGGCCACTGGGTGTAAGCCGTCCATAATGGTGGTGAGGCGGTGCTGGTTTTTGTAGCCCTATATAACTCCAACAACATTGGAGGAGTTGGTAGAATCACTGAATCACTAAAGGAACCCTCTACCACCATCACTACGACCTTCTACCACTATTACAGCTGTTACCACCATCACTACTACCTTCTACCACCATCACTACCACCAAAGAAAGCTTCTAGTGCCAGCCCTTTGGTAAAGAATGTGAGAAACACATAATTTATGAAAACGTTTGTAGAAAAATACAGAGATGGTGGTGGTAGAGTGGAAGCAGTTGTTTTAGTGGTTGATGAACATAAGAAAGGAGGATCACTGCAACAGGCCTGTTGGCCCATGCTAGGCAGGTCCTTTACAATTCATCCCACTAACGAAACATTTTCCCAACCCAGTCCTCAATGCTACCCAAGAAATAAGCTCTGATAACTCTATCCACTCATTTGGGACTTGCAAATGAGTGGATAGAGTTATCAGAGCTTATTTCTTGGGTAGCATTGAGGACTGGGTTGGGAAAACGTTTCGTTAGTGGGATGAATTGTAAAGGACCTGCTGAGCATGGGCCAACAGGCCTGCTGCAGTGATCCTCCTTTCTTATGTTCATCAACCACTATCACAACTGCTTCCACTCTACCACCACCATCTTTGTATTTTTCTACAAACTTTTTCATAAATTATGTGTTTCTCACATTCTTTACCAAAGGGCTAGCACTAGAAGCTTTATTTGGAGCCATGGTAGCTTATTTAGCACTTGCAAGCACTAAAATCAATGGAATATTATGAAATATTTCGTAGGAGCATGTGAGGGGACCGTCACTCACTGGTAAACAATGGCACACTGGCTGGGAAGGAAAGGCCGAGGCGGCTCAGAGCGTGAGTACGCGTCCAAGACAAAGAACTATTAGGACTATTAGCGAGTTACCGGACCATTTGCGAGCCAATATTTTGACGATAAAACAGGACTATTTCCGAAATGGACGACTTTCAGGCCGGACGATTATTGAGGGACCACTATATATTATTCAGTGCTCATAGTTCAAGAGTGATAAGTAGCTGACAGCATTGTCTAACTAGTGTAAAAATCGCTCCGCTCGTTTCCCTGCCGGCTTCTGTGTTGCTGGGCAGCAACAGTCCATGGAGTCACGTGATCAGGGTGGGGTGATCACACCTCACCTGGGTGAGAGAGAGTTTGTCCTTTGCTAGCTCTTGCTCGGGAGCTATCTCTCTCTCCTCTGTTTTACGTTGCTTCTGACAAGACATGCCTCTCACCAGCCCTTTCATGCTGGCACTTGTTGGAAGGCCGTCTCTGTCACTTTCTTGTTGTTGGTTCTGTGTAACTCTGTTCACAGAACATAGTCTAGACTTAGTGATTTTCGATGTTGTACTGAGGTTGTGTGTCGCATTGACGTTCCGAGAAACTCAAGTCCTGAGCTTTAGCTTCTGACCTAATTTATACTGGTATCTGTGCACTGTCACAGTCGGGGACTTTCTAATGCTGAACTTAGATTCAGTAGTATGGAAGTTTTGTGACTTTTGACGAGGATCTGCAGATGGTCCCTACTTAGTGTCGTTATATTATCTCCTTGTTCCTGATTCTGTGTCGCTGTTGCTTGTCTTATTACTGTTCAACTTATCAGTCGTATTACTGTTCAAGTAAGCTGTTCTTATTGTCAGGTTGGTTAAGAAGTTAGTTTATATGAGGACTTTCAGTCAGTCACTGGTTAAGTCTAGTCGAATCTTGAGACGTAGCGAACTACTAAGAGCACTTACACACATACACACATACTCACTTGTATACAGTGGACCCCCGGTTAACGATATTTTTTCACTCCAGAAGTATGTTCAGGTGCCAGTACTGACCGAATTTGTTCCCATAAGAAATATTGTGAAGTAGATTAGTCCATTTCAGACCCCCAAACATACACGTACAAATGCACTTACATAAATACACTTACATAATTGGTCGCATTCGGAGGTAATCGTTATGCGGGGGTCCACTGTATATTATTATTATGTTATTAAATGCTAACAATGTACCAGACAGTACTTAAAAGCCATAAAGATGTGATATGTGCCTTCAGCACAATACTACTGTACACAAGAGAAGTGATTATTTTGATTAATTTACTTTGATTTTATATGCCTAGACAACGTTATAGTTATTAATAAACTTATTAAATTTTAATTTCTTTAGTAGCCTACCAGTTGTAATCCTGAAGCACTATTTTATCTTACTATTAAAGTAATGGATAATTGGACCAGGATGCTGACTACTTGTTACAAAAACCCAGTAAGAGGCTGGATGCTAGAAGGGCAGTCCTTTCTAGTATTCACTGGAGATCTCTATGATTATTAGATATCACGTTTTTTGTAACACAGACTGTTATTATTTTCACCTGGAAGCTAATATATTCTCCACAAATAATTTTATAAAGGTTTGCAACAACTTAAGTTTTGTCTTGTAGACAATGGTAATGACAATTTATTTTACTGCTCAAGTGATGCACTTGGTGTATTTTATGTATAGAATTTTTAAGTTGCATCTGTCAGATAGTGTTATTGTTGTGGTAGCAGGAAGTTTTTAAGTTGCATCTTGCAGATTTTAAGTTGCATCTTGCAGGCAGTGGTATTGTTGTGGTAGCAGGAAGTTTTTAAGTTGCATCTTGCAGACAGTGGTATTGTTGTTGTAGCAGGAAGTTTTTAAGTTGCATCTTGCAGACAGTGGTATTGTTGTGGTAGCAGGAAGTTTTTAAGTTGCATCTTGCAGACAGTGGTATTGTTGTGGTAGCAGGAAGTTTTTACGTTGCATCTTGCAGATTTTAAGTTGAAATCTTGCAGACAGTGGTATTGTTGTGGTAGCAGGAAGTTTTTAAGTTGCATCTTGCAGACAGTGGTATTGTTGTGGTAGCAGGAAGTTTTTACGTTGCATCTTGCAGATTTTAAGTTGCATCTTGCAGACAGTGGTATTGTTGTGGTAGCAGGAAGTTTTTAAGTTGCATCTTGCAGGCAGTGGTATTGTTGTTGCAGCAGGAAGTTTTTAAGCTGCATCTTGCAGATTTTAAGTTGCATCTTGCAGACAGTGGTATTGTGGTAGCAGGAAGTTTTTAAGTTGCATCTTGCAGACAGTGGTATTGTTGTTGTAGCAGGAAGTTTTTAAGTTGCATCTTGCAGGCAGTGGTATTGTTGTTGTAGCAGGAAGTTTTTAAGTTGCATCTTGCAGATTTTTAAGTTGCATCTTGCAGACAGTGGTATTGTTGTTGTAGCAGGAAGTTTTTAAGTTGCATCTTGCAGACAGTGGTATTGTTGTGGTAGCAGGAAGTTTTTAAGTTGCATCTTGCAGACAGTGGTATTGTTGTTGTAGCAGGAAGTTTTTAAGTTGCATCTTGCAGACAGTGGTATTGTTGTTGTAGCAGGAAGTTTTTAAGTTGCATCTTGCAGACAGTGGTATTGTTGTTTGTAGCAGGAAGTTTTTAAGTTGCATCTTGCAGACAGTGGTATTGTTGTTGTAGCAGGAAGTTTTTAAGTTGCATCTTGCAGACAGTGGTATTGTTGTTGTAGCAGGAAGTTTTTAAGTTGCATCTTGCAGACAGTGGTATTGTTGTGGTAGCAGGAAGTTTTTAAGTTGCATCTTGCAGACAGTGGTATTGTTGTGGTAGCAGGAAGTTTTTAAGTTGCATCTTGCAGACAGTGGTATTGTTGTGGTAGCAGGAAGTTTTTAAGTTGCATCTTGCAGATTTTAAGTTGCATCTTGCAGGCAGTGGTATTGTTGTTGTAGCAGGAAGTTTTTAAATTGCATCTTGCAGGCAGTGGTATTGTTGTTGTAGCAGGAAGTTTTTAAGTTGCATCTTGCAGATTTTAAGTTGCATCTTGCAGACAGTGGTATGGTGGTGGTAGCAGGAAGTTTTTAAGTTGCATCTTGCAGTGTTATTGTTCATATCTTTATATGTTAAGGTGATGATTTACATGGTGAATTTTATGCTTACAAATATCATTTTCTCCACCCATACTTTTTATTGTTAAAGGAATTTTTTGAGTTTTCTCTTGCCGACAAACTTATTGTCAATTTATATGTTAATGTGATGTACTTGGACAATTTAATAGTGAGAAAGTTGACATTTTCCACCCATGTTTGTTATTAATGTGATCTCACCTTATGTAACTTTAATACATTTCTCTATGTACTTTTTTTAATGTAGAATTTTAATGTCTTGAAAATTATTATGTAAATTATAGTGCTTTGTTTCTTAATTTACCTCTATTTTCTTTATTATTAATATTAAGACTTATTATTTGAAAATACCAGCTTTCTCCCACCCAGGTAAGGCAACCTGAAAAAGAAAAAACTCTTCTGCCATCACTTACTCCATCACTCACTATCTTGCCAAACAAATGCTGTTACTACAGCTGTAAACTACAAAGTATCACCACAGCCTTGTTAATTATGTGGATTAAAATAAGAATTGGATGTGAAAAGTGGGTCATAATAAGTGTGTATGCACCTGGAGAATAGAGAAGTGTAGAAGAGAGAGATTTTGGGAGATCTTAAGTAAATGTATAGGAACATTTGAGCCAAATGAGAGAGTAGTTGTGGTAGGAAACGTAAATGCTAAAGTAGGAGTATAATTTAGAGAGGGTGTGGTAGGTAAGTTTGGGGTGCCAGGTGTATATGATAATGGGAGCCCTTTGATTGAACTTTGTATAGAAAGGGGTTTAGTTATAAGTAATACATATTTTAAGAAAAAACAGGATAAATAAGTACAGTGGACCCTCGTCTAATGATATTAATCCGTTCCTGAGAACTCAACGTTAGGCGAAATTATCGTTAGCCGAATTAATTTTCCCCATAAGAAATAATGGAAATCAAATTAATCCGTTCCTGACACCCCAAAGTATGAAAAAAAAAATTTACCACGTGAAATATTAATTTTAATACACACAAACTGAAGAAGACATGTACAATTGCATGACACTTACCTTTATTGAAGATCTGGTGATGATTGATGGGATGGGAGGACGGGGGCAGTGTGGATGGTGTTGATCTTTAGAAGGGGAATCCCCTTCCATTAGGACATGAGATGTCAAGTCCTTTTCCAGGGTTACTTCCCTTCTTCTTTTAATGCCACTAGGGCCAGCTTGAGAGTCACTGGACCTCTGTCGCATAACATATCTGTCCATAGAGGCCTGTACCTCCCGTTCCTTTATGACATTCCTAAAGTGTTTCACAAC